CCCCCCGAGAACATGCTCATCGCACTGAGACCCAACTACCTAAGTCCGTGGCATGCCAGCTGGGTCTGCCATCTAGCTGTGGCTCCACCCAGAAACACCAAAGCAGATCTTTAATGAGCTCTCTCAGTGAGGCATTATGCAGGACTATAGAAGCAGCATGGGGTAAAGAAAATAAAAAGCAAGAAATAGTTCTACCTTTAAGAAGCTTAGGGAAAAAAAAAGAAGCTTAGAACATTCCGGTGTTTGATTTTTTTTTAATAATTACAAAAGTATACATGCTCAATGAAGAAAACCTGAATAAATACAGAAAAGCCTAAAGGAAAGAAAATTGAGATCACTTCAGCAAGCACTGCTGAGGAGACAAAGCCCCTAGATTCAAAAAGCTTACAGTTTATGGAGAGAGCAACCACTAAATAGCAATTAAAAGGTAGCATCTGAGTGCTTTAATTGAGACAACAGTGGTTTTATGAGCAGAGGAGATAGATGCTGCTTTGAGCTGAGTTCCTGCCCGAGGTTAAAGCTCACCAAACTCACCAGGCCACCCAGGAAGGGAGAAGAGGTGCAGAGTGTGAGGGGCACTCCCGCTGGGGCTGGAAGAGAAGGCTCCACTACCATCATTTCCAAGGAGATGAGAGGGCTCTTTGAGAAGAGAGACTCAGTTTTCAATCTTCTCTGTATTTCCAAGCACTCCTGGTCCTTCAGGCTAAGCAGTTCTTTGGTTTGCCCGTCCCTTATCACTGTCAGTGCTGTATGGACCTCCTACATTGTAATATAGAGTCCTACCAGGTGAAGAAGCAACCATCTGGTTTGTTGCATTCTTTTTTTAAATCATTTTATTGGGGTTCATACAACTCTTAGCACAATCCATCCATCCATCCGTTGTGCCAAGCACATTTGTACATTTGTTGCCATCATCATTTTCAAAACATTTTCTTTCTACTTAAACCCTTGGTACAGCTTCTGATTTTCCTCCTCCCTCCTCCACCCTTTCTCCCTCATAAACCCTTGATAATTTATAAATTATTATTCTCTTATATGTTTCCAGCTATTATCTGTACCCATGTACATGCTCTGGTCTAGCCGGATTTGTAAGGTAGAAATGGGATCATGATAATGGAGTGGGGAGTAAGCATTTAAGAACGAGAAGAAAGTTGTATGTTTCATTGTTGCTACACTGCACTCTGTCTGGCTCATCTCCTCTCCGCGACCCTTCTGTAAGGGGATGTCCAATTGCCTACAGATGAGCTTTGGGTCTCCACTCTGCACCCTCCCTCATTCACAATGATATGATGTTTTGGTTTTTGATGCCTGATACCTGATCCCATTGACACCTCATGATCACATAAGCTGGTATGCTTCTTCCATGTGGGCTTTCTTGCTTCTTAGCTAGATGGCTGCTTGTTTATCTTCAAGCCTTTAAGACCCCAGAAGCTATATCTTTTGATAGCCAGGAACCATCAGCTTTCTTTACTACATCTACTTATACACCCGCTTTGTCTTCAGCAATGGTGTAGGGAAGGTGAGCATCGTGGAATGCCAGTTTAATAGAGCAAAGTGTTCTTGCATTGAGAGAGTACTTGAGTGGAGGCCCAATGTCCATCTACTATCTTAATACTAAGTCTATAAATATATATACATAGATCTACTCCCCCATCAAATATATAAATATATTTACATATGTATGTACTTGTATTTAGACCTCTATAAATGCCATTTGCCTCATAGTTCTTCCTCTATTTCCTTTTACTTTCCTCTTGTCCCACTCTCATGCTCAGCCTTCATTTGGGTTTCAGTAATTCCTCTCGGTTACATTGCCTTTGATCAAGCCCTATTAGGCCTCCTACACCCTCCTCACCACCACTTGTTGTTCCCTTGTCCCTGGGTTTGTTAACACCCACTTCCTTTTCCCCGCATTTTATGCAAGTTCAGAAAGATTAAAATGGGCTGCTATTTTCAGGAAGACCAATATATTCCCAGTGTTTGTCCATATGTATTTCTTTATGAAATGGATCCCATACTACTTTTTCTCTAATTTGTATACTGCCCCCCAAAAGACCCTTCACTTGCAGTCGGATTTTGCATATGCGTAATACCATGCTTTGTTCTGTCACCTAGTGGCTGTTTTATCATGTTTTTAAGATAACAAAAGGCAAGTGTAAAACATGGTGACAGCAAAGAGTGCAGTGCCCCAGCTCCTTTCCACATTGCAGGGTGAAGCAGCTGACTGACGAGGAAGAGTGCTGTATCTGCATGGATGGCCGATCAGACCTCATCCTGCCCTGCACTCACAGCTTCTGTCAGAAGTGCATTGATAAGTGGTAAGTTGTCTGCTGCCTTCTGGGCGAAGCAAAAGGCAAATACGTAGCGGCTTGGATCATTTTAGCTGAAGACCAGATAAAGAAACACTCAGGCAGGTCATCTCTAAAGCTCATTTGCTGCCAGGTAGCCAAGGGAAGGCACACAAGTAAGATAGACCTCAAGACGTTCATTTAGCATTGGAGTATTTGTAAACCAACAAGTACCTTGTTGGTTTAAATGTTAAGGTCCAAATCGTTGGACTTCAGACTTTTATCTTGAACAAGTGGTCTAAGGAAGAGACTTGCCAGTTGACCAGGAACTTGGAGCAGGTCCCCAGAGCTAACATCTGAGGTTGGGTATGGTGAATAATATACCAGCAGGCATCCCGATCTTCAGGGAGACAGGGAGACCTTTGCTTCCGTCTTCACCCCAAAACGACCAACCTCTGAACTGTCATGTGCAACTATAATTGGTATGTTTTACTGCCAGTTAAAGAATTGTTGACATATTTATGATTTGTTAACTTATGTCACGTTTTATTGACATTTAGGAAGTTTTTATATGACATCTATATTCTTATTTACTACCTATTCCAAGACCAAATGAAAACTTATGGAAATTGTTTTTAGTGGCATTTATGTCTTGTTAATTTATAGAAATAAGATTGATGTTACACTCTTATCACAGAATACAGATGCACAGCCTAATTTTCAGAATGTTATTTGCGGCCTATGCTACATACGTCTGTTACCTATTTTCAAAGTTAGAACAACCTTCTAATGGCTTATAGTTAATGGTTTGGAGCCCTGGTGGTATAATGGTTGCGTGTTGGACTACAATCCTCAAGGTCAGCAGTTCAAAACCACCAGCCACTCTGTGGGAGAAAGACAGGGCTTTCTACTACCATGAAGAGTTACAGTCTTGGGAATTCACAGGGAGCAATTCTACCTTCTCCTATAGGATCAGTATAAGTCAGCATTGATTCGATGGCAGGGTTTGGGGCGTTTTTTGGTGATAGTTTATGGTTAGAATCTATTTCTAAGTTCAGAAATTGTTTTTACACATTATAAGCAAATTACATATACCTAGATATTTAAAAGCATTATAAAAGCATCACGACAGTGCAAAAAGCACTATAGACGTATACAATAGTGACTTACACATTTTTTGTTTTGTTTCATACTTTTTATTGTGGTTTGAACGACATTTACAGAGGAAATTAATTTCCCATTCAACACTTGATAGACATTTTGTTGGTGACATTGGTCGACAATCTCCACAATGTAACCACGCTCTTCCCACTGCCTCTCTGGGCCCTTTCCACTTGTGCATCTTCTTGCCCCTTCATGCCTTTTGTGAGTTGATTTTGGGCAGGTGTGCCCTTTGGGTCTAGTGTAATTGCTCAGTCTGAGGATATTGTTCACTTTATGGGTCTGTTATTTGGCTTAAAGTTGGATTGTATACATAATAGAATTTACTTCTATTGCCTTTAACTCTGGGTCTGCGCCCAGTGTCTTGTATCATTTCATTTGCCAACCTCCACTTTATTGCATATTGCCTTCTCCTCCGCTCAAATTAACACGTGACTACCCTCTCGCAGTGACTTAACCTTTCTCCCCATCCCACCCTGGAACCATCAAAGATTGTGTGTGTGTGTGACACCTTGTTCTTGATCTTTCAGATTTTTTTTTTTGACATTTTACAGTAGTGGTCTCATACAATTTGGGTTTTTTTTGTGTGACTGAGTGATTTCACTCAGCATAATGTCCTCTAGGCTCATTTATGTTATGAGGTGTTTCACAGATTCATCATTATTTTTTAGTATTGCATAATATTCCACTGTGGCTAACTACCAAAGTTTGTCCATTCTTCCAGTGATGGGCATTTAAGTTGTCTTAATTTTTTGCTCTGTGAGTAGTGCAAACTGCCTGCAGAGGTTTTGGTTGCAATGTAAATAGATCAATTTGAGAGGAAAGTTGACTTCTTAATAATATCAAGTCTGATGGGCCATCTGCACATTGTGTCTGTAGGTATTGAAATGTTCTGTAATTTCACCAACAGTTTGTAATTTTCAGTGTTGCGTGGCTTTCTTTAGATTTATCCCTAATATTTCATGTTTTTATTTGATGCTACATAGTATTTTTAATTTAAATGTATGGTTTGTTGCTAGTATTTAGAAATAAAATAGATTTCTGTGTATTGATTTTATATCCTACAACTTTGCTTAACTCAGTAGTTTTGGTAGCTTTTTTGCAGATTCTGTAAGATTTTCTTAAATTTCTAAACATCGTTTCCAAAGATACTTTTGCTACATATGGTGGAGTGTTTACACATTGGGCTGTTAACCACAAGGTCAGCAGTTAGAAACCACCAGCTGTTCCAAGGGAGAAAGACGGGCTTTCTACTCAAGTAAAAGGTTTAGTCTTGGAATTATATCGGATGTGAATTATATACCAGTAAAACTTTTGGGGGGAAAAAAGAGTTTTGTTTCGGAAACTGACAGGCACAGTTCCACCCTGTACCATAGGTTCACTGTGAGCCTGTATCAGTCACTAGGTTCACTCATGACTCAGTGGCAGTGAGTTTTTGAGCTACAACCTAGACAGGTTTTTTTTCTTCCTTTCCATACTTAAGTGATATTTGCATTGCTCCCTATGGGAAAAAATGCTGTTATTCTTACCTTTTTTCCACTATAGATGTGTGGATTGTTTGTTTTGCACTCACTACTTTCAAGATAGTATTTTCTTTTTGATTGTGTTGTGCCTTGGAGTGGTTTGCTTAGGTTGCTTATGCTTGGGCTCCATGCGTTTCTTGGATTGGTAGGTTGACAGAGTCCTCAAATTTAAGCAATTTTCAGCCGTTATCTTCCCAAATATATATATATTCCATCCTCTTCACTCTCCTTTTGGGACTCGAATTCCATATCTGTTAGGCTACTTGAAATTGTCCCACAGTGCTCCCTGATGCTGTTTTCCTCCTCATAATTTTTTGCTCGTTTCTTTCTTTCTTTCTTGTTTTCAATGTTCCATTTAGATAGTTAATGTTGCTATTTATCAGAGTTCACTAAGGTTTTCTTCTGCAACATCTGACTTATCATGAATCTCCCCAATGTATTACTCCTCTCTGGTGCTACGGATCTCCCCTCTGTAAGTTTGACTTGCGGTTTTTAAATCTCTTCTGTGTCTCTAATTATTATGTGTTCTTTCCTCTAGTTGTTTAAGTGTGTAGAAGACAGTTACAATAATTATTTTCTTATCTACTAATTGTAACATCTGTGTCTGTTCTGGGTTGATGATTAATTCTTTTTGTCTTCATCATGGGTCACATTCTCCTGCTTCTTTGTATGCCTGGCAATCTTTGATTGGATGCCAGGTATTGTGAATTTGACCTTTTGGGGTGCTGGGTATTTTTGTACTTCTATAAATAAGTTTTCTTGAGCTTTGTTTTGGAACATAGTTACTTGGAAACAATTTGATCCTTTTGGCTCATATTTTTATGATTTGTTTCGTGGGACTGAGCAGTGTTTAGTTTAGGGCTAATTATTCCACACTACTGAGTCATGGCCATTCATAGTCCTCCACACCAGGCCCTCTGAATTAGGAGGCTGGCAGGCTGGCTGGTGGGAATGAGCAGTGTTCTCGGGCCCTGTGGACTTTTGCTGACTATTCCTGCTCGTCCTCTTGGGTGATTCTCTCCTCGTCCTTGAGTAGCTTCTTCACAGTGGGACCTTCCACAGATCTCCAGAGCTGCAGTCCCGTCTCCAGTCCTCTGCCCTGGGAACTCTTGTGAATCCACAATCTCTAGACTCAGTCTGTCAGGCTTCATTTAGGCCCCCTGCTGACTGTGCCTGGACACTCCAGGCAGTCAGGCAGTCAGGGGCGCCCATTGCAGACAGAGCCTGCCTGTTTTGTTCCCCTCACTCAGGGATCACTGCCCTTTGTGGCCTGATGTCCAGTGTGGAAAACCATTGCCCCGTACACTTTTTTTCAGTGTTTTAGTTATTTCAGATTGGCCAGAAACAGAAGTCAGTAATTTATTTGTAAATTGTGACATTTGTGCACAGAACAGCATCTGATCAAATATCTCTGAAGTACCAGAAATCAGCCTGAATAAGCAAGCTTTCACAGTTAGTTTTGGGAAATTTCTAAAATTTTGCACAAAAGCCAAACAGCAATTGTTAATTTACACACTGTAGTTTCCCTGATTTCCCTTAGAGGTAAAGAGAAAACTTTTTGCACTGTATGATATATCTTAGCTCAAATATATTTTTGAATTTTCCAAAACACTCTTTGATGAGAAAAAAATCCCTTTTGAAAAACATAATCTTCATTGATCATATATGAGTTCTTTCCCTATCAGAGAAATCATTCTGCAGGTAAAGATGATCCTTTATTTTAAATCTTAAATGACTCAATTTTTTTAAATAATCATTTTATCAGGGCCTCTTACAACTCGTGTTACAATCCATACATCAGTTGTATCCGACATATTCGTACGTATATTCCATTGTTCTTTTCTAGACATTTACTTTCCATTGAGCCCTTGGGATCAGCTCCTCTTTTTAAATGACTCCATATTTTACATTATCTTTAAGAACTCCTCTTACTGCTTATGAACCATATTTTTATTAGAGCTGTAAGCTTTTGATTCAGCATCATGGGGCCTTAGGACTAAGCTGTATTAGAGATTACTTTTAAAAAGTGACTAACATCTTTCTTTCCCTGTTGCTGTATTGCCTTGCCACTGACAAGAGGTTCCTGGACCAATGGCTTCCATTTAAGGAATCAGAAAAAACATACCAAATCCTTCATGATGGAGAAGGGATTTTCACTGAGGATGCTCCAGGAATTTTGATTGGAAAAGAGAACAACCCGTCTGGGTGTACAAAGATGTTAATAGCAACATTGTAGTGACAGGAAAACTGGTAGGGTTGAGAAAGAAGCCTGGGGATTACGCTAAATCTCCTTTGGGAGGGATAGTTAAATAAATCACAGCATGTCTACACGGTGGGTTATTGTGTTCAAAAGATACACAGTTTTAATGTGTTCTACAGTACATATTGACAGGAGAAAAGGACAGTGTGTGTGTGTGTGTGTGTGTGTGTGAGTCTTAGTCATGCTTAGTCGATCTCTGGAAGCATATGTAAGGAACTAGTAATGGTGGTTGCTTCTGGAAAAGAGAATTGAAGTTTGGTTATAGAAAGGAGAGATTTACTTTTGTGTATTCATTTTTATATACATGTAAGTATACTCTTAAAAGCTATTATCATAAGTTGAATTGTGGGCTGCTCCCCATCACCAACGCCATTGTGTTGTAAATCCCAACCTTTATGCTTTTAGCTATAATTCCATTTGGGAATAAATTGTGTTTGTTATGTTAATGAAGTGGGATTAGCATAGGGTGTATTTTTTTGAATCAGTTTTCTTATAATTTTTATTAAAAGATATTACAGATTTTTCAAGGTTTTTTTTAACTGTTTATTGTGAGATAGGTAGCCGTTTACAGAACACACCATAGTTTTATACTCAAAAATCATACACATTCTGATTCACAGCTTCAGTTGCAATCCCTCAATATACTATTGCTTTTCCCATGTCCTCCTGTTTCCACTTCCCTTCCTCCTCCTTTCCTAACCCTCTGAACTTTGACCTTATTAAATGCTGCCCATGTGATTGGTTATTTTTTTAAATGTCCAAACCTCCCCAGTGTTATCGTTTTCTTTCCAAAACTGTGTATTGTTTGGCTGAAATTGAACCATGAGGGTGAGCTCATATCCAGACCTGAGGAGTGGTGACTGAGAGGTCAACATTGAGACACTGACCGGAGGTAGGATTGACAGGGAAGGTGAGGTTAAGAGCGGCTCTCTTAGGGTAGGGCAAGAGCTCCCGGGAGGGAAGGGAGAACAGAGAGGGGGACAGGAGCACCTTGAGACCCACCAAGTAAGGTCAGGGAAATCACGCCTGTCTGTGGGGCATTGGGATATTTGTAGGATGTGGGTCAGGGAACTATGCAAATGAGGTGAAGAGAGCTGCTGGTGCTTGCACCCGTAAGGAGAAGGGAGGCTTCCGGGTATGCAGCTGCAGTCTGAGTCCTTCCCAGTCCAGCTCTAGTCTTGAGAGGCGGGGGCCAGGGGCTGTGTGGACCTACCCAGAGAGATAAGCTCCTCGGAATGCTGCCAAGTCCAGCTGATCACCTGTCTTTCTGAGAGGCTGGGGGGAGGGGCTGCATGGTCCGACCCGGCCCAAACAGTGAGTGAGAGCCACAGTCTCAGGGTCTCCCAGTCTCGCTCCAACTGATAAGCCTAGTCTTTTCTTATTAAGATTTTGAGTTTTGTTCCACCTTTTCTCCATGTGCTCTCTTTAGAGCAATTGGCAGTGACAGCTGGGTACCATCTACTCCTGGTGATGGAAGCTGATGTCCCTGTAGACTAATTGTCCCCATGTGTCTTTGAGTTTCTCTACTCCTCCTTCCTCTGGCCATTGAAAGAGCAACAGTTGCACCGTAGATAGGATGCATTGTCTTTGTGAACTATGTTATGCCTGTTAGGCCTGCATGTCCCCCAAGACCATGGTCCTGAACCTCAAGTCCCTGTGACTCTACATCCTTCTGAGATAATAAAAGAGATTAAACAAACGAGTGAGACAAGCAGCAGTGGGGAAGAGAAATGCCAAGCCACAGGAAGCTCATCTGGAAGCAGAAGCTCAAAAGAGACAAGGATATCCCCTAGAGCCGACAGAAACGCTTCCCCTCTGGCCAGCACCCTGAACTTAGATTTCTAGCCTCCTTAGAAGACGAGCTAGCCTGTTAAAGTGCCTATGCATACTCTTTTTGTTACCGCAGCACTAGATAGCTAAGAGCCATGTGTGGGTATTGTTTTCCAAGTAAACACATTTTTTTTAAGGGGAAGGAAAAATAACTTAAACTACATTCTTTATTTGATTTAATAGGAGTGATCGGCACAGGAATTGTCCTATCTGTCGCCTACAGATGACTGGTGCAAATGAATCTTGGGTGGTGTCAGATGCACCCACTGAAGATGATATGGCTAACTATATTCTTAACATGGCTGACGACGCAGGCCAGCCCCATCAGCCGTGACCTTTGGATGAAGGTCTCCTGTTGGGACTGTGGGCTGTGAGCGCTTTGACCAAGTGAGAAGAATTCAGGGCTGTTGTGGCACGGACACAGAAAAACTATTTTCCCTTATTTTTGGTATTCTGATGTCCCATTTCTTTTGATAAAACTTTCCATGTCTTCCATTAGTGGTAAACTGAATTTTGCTACTGTTTGAGACTATATTTTACTATTTCTTAATGTGTTCTAATATGTATTAGAACTACCATATATACTCGAATATAAGCCGGCCCAAATATCCGCCGAGGCACCTAATTTTACCACAAAGGCTGCATTAAAAATGTGCTGAGAAACTCAGCTTATACTCGAGTAGATACGGTTAATTGCTTCATGAATCCTTTGCCAAGGTTACATCAACATTTCCAGAAGATTCCGATACACTACTTAATTTTTCAGGGCAGGAGTGTTCTGGAATATTTTTAGTTAGGTTTGAAATAGACATTGAAATATTTAAAAAGAGGTAACCATCTGAAAAATGTTTTAATATTTTTTTATTGACTGAAAATGTAGAACACATCCAAGTGCATGTTACTACTTAACTCTGGTCTTTGTGCTGGAATCTACGGTGTATGTACACCCCCTTGTGTCTAAGTATTGCTCCTGTAATATTTTTACTTGAAATAATCCACAATTATTTCATAACGTTAGCCATGTGTTTTGAACTACATATTTTAAAACTAAAAGTATTTGGGTTTAGTTGTGGTTTCCTCCTTTTCTTTTCGCCCTGTTATCTGATTTAAATGAGGATTAGAAAGTTGGGCAATGACCATGCTTTGTAGATGGAGTTCTGCTTGGGAATCTTGGCTATTCTGGAAATACTTTCCCACAATTGGGAATTGTATTAGTCTAGGTACTTTGGAGAAACAAATCCATGGCAACTCACATATAAGAGAGAGTTTTATGCAAAGAAAATGTGCATCACGAAAACATCCCAACCCAATGCTGCCCAAGCCCACAAGTCCAACATTAACCCATACCCAACACCAGTCCACAAAGTCCTCCACCTCACAAAACAGAGGCAATGATGCCGACTGCAGGAGGAAAGCCGAGTCCGTGAACGTGTAAGCATCTCAGCACTGGCAAGGGTCTCCACACGGCTGCTCCAGCACCCAGGGCTGCATTGGGATAAATCCATGCGGCTTCTCCTTGGGGATGTCTTGTAGGAAGTCACTCTTGCAAGCTGAAGCAGGGAACTGCTAAGGCAGCTGCACCCGATACAACCATCACAAAACAAGAGACCCGAGAACTAGAAAGGCGAGGCTCACCACCCATTTATCCCTCCACCTTTCATCCAGACCCACATGTGATTATCGGCCAGGCTGGCACAATTAACTAACTCAGGAATCTACTCTGGATTGGTTTTGACAATGCCCACACTTCCTGCAGTTTCAGAACAGTTTACTTCATCACATATCTTAAATGTTCGATTTCAATATTAATCTTTCAATATTAGTTTTTGGTGCTTTTATTCACTTGAAGACAACTTTCTAAGGTTCAAGTTTCTTAGACTAAGAATGAAAAAAAAAGATACAAAGTTTTCACCGTATATATAAGGCACCTTTGAAAATTAGGCAATAATTTGGCTTTCATACTGTTTCATTGTACTTCCTTTGAAATACTCTGAATGTTTATGGTAATAATAGAGTATAAATTGGTTGAGAATATGTATCAACCAGTTTTTAAAAAATGTTGTTTGGCAAAATTTTTGCTTTATATTAGACATTAACATTGCAGCATATAATAAAACCAACATCTCCTTTTAAAGTTATTTTAATATTTCCAGGAAAGTTTTCTGACCCGTTATTGGTCATTTGTAAGTATTACTATTTTTGCTAAGTACTAAGGTACATAATTTCAAATTGCTGCTTATTGATGACAGAATTGGGGATCATGTGATTTTTAACAGGCACACAAGTTCAGTAAGCTTATTTCTAGGAATGAAGTCTGACAGAGGATGGCTTGTGTGTGCTCCCAAAAGACTGATGACCCAACCTGTGGGCCTGCGTGACGAGAGTGGTGGCCAAGTCCCAAATGGCCGAGTACGCAGGACGGCCGAAGACCGCGGTGTCCGATATGTGGCCTCAGACAGCAGGCCCTTTCTCTCATTCTTAGACATTGCTACCGTAGAAACAGCTGATTTGTGGTTTTCACACTTTATTTCAGAGTAGAACCTTGCTCCCCTCCCCAAATAAAGCCTTACATAAAAGTTCACATGCATACATACACAGTACCCTATTCTATAAACACCATTTTATTAATGTTTCCTTATATATTATATGAACTTTACATACCATGATAACTAAATATTATCAAATAAACCAATTCTAAGACATACTGTGACTTTTTTTTTTAACATTTTATTAGGGGCTCATACAACTGTTATCCCAATCCATACACACATCAGTTGTGTAAAGCGCATTTGTACATCGTTTCTCAAAACATTTTCTCTCCATTTAAACCCCCGACATTAGGTCCTCATTTTTCCCCTCC